TCATGAATAATGCATATTTTTTGAAAAGGTGTGAAAATGGCCCAAAATCGATCAAAACCATGGGCTATAGTCCACTCTATTTGCCCGAAAATGACCAAAAATGAAGTATTTGATCTTCCTCATGAATAATGCATATTTTTTAAAAAGGTGTGAAAATGGCCCAAAATCGATCAAAACCATGGACTATAGCCCATGCTATTGGCCTTATAATGTGTAGCATGTATTTGATATTGATTCGACGTTTAGCTATTTAATTATAAACACTGGATTGTAGTTTTGTCGTATTATACTTATTTACCAGACTGTGATAGTTTCTTTTTTTTTTTTTTAATTGGTTGAAAAAATGCATCTAAATAATCATTGATATAAAGAAAAAGATCATTCGTCTTTTTAAAAGTACTGACCATGAAGGTGTTATACTTTATAATTAGTATAATATTGAACCTTAAATACTGTAAATATAGAAATCATTACGAGTATTTTATAAAGGGGTAAATTATTACAAACGATAAAACGTGCTACCAATTTTGAAATCGAGTGAATTGCTCTCATTATTTGTTAACTCTCATGTTTCAAAAATACTCCACCTAACGTATTATCCGTATTATCCTAACTCTTAATATGCCAGCAGGCCTGGTGTCTAGTTTCTTTTTTCGTACCACCCCTCCCCCAATTAACATTCAAACAGAAACTCACACTTCACAAATAATCGTCATTCCTCCTTCAGTGAAGCTGAACCCAGCTATTATTATAGATTGGTTAAGTAAGTCATTATTAAATACATTTTGATCTCTTTTAGTTTACATTATATTTATAGTGAACTAGGAAATGTTTCCATGAACCTTGAGGTGCGATCGACCCACCCGACCGACCGTTAAGTCGACCAACTAAACTAACTAACCGACCAAACTGACAAAGCTGATATATTTCGTATTTTCTTTTGTTATCTTGGTCGAGCGATTCTCTCACAGGTTTTACAACATAAACTGTACCAAGCTTTGTCGTGACATAACTTGTACTTCAAGACGGAGTGACATTGTTTCTTATTGTATTTATCTTGGAGGCATGGAGGCTCTTGAACTGCAAGAGATAATTGATAAAAAGTTCGTGGCATGAGAGAACTACAAACTTTGTTTAGGAATACTGGCAACGAAGAAATAAAGCAAAGAATCGTGGGGAAGTGTAAGGGATTTTTTATTTCATTCATTAACAGACCTCTTCAGCTTGAGCATAGTATTTTTCCATTTTAGACCACGTGTCATATTCTTGATAATAAGATTCTTTGTTTAAGTTGTATCCATATTCATGTGTCTTCTTATGCGCAACCGTTAAACAAAGACATATTATGCTCTTGGGAATGACACGTGGTCTGAAATAGAAAACATCATGCAATTCACCAAAAGGTCGCTGCTATATTTTACTTAACTTTGAAAAGGCGAATTGGGGCTTTTGTCAGACTAAGAACGTATTTACTTGGTCATTTTTACAGCGTGTTTTAAGAAAGGCAACAACGACCAAACAGCCAATCACGGAACAGAACGACCAACCAATCACTACACAGATGAACCGACGACTTTATTTCTTATATCCCTCAGTGATAGGTCTATTTTGAGTTTGCCACAATTCAAACAAGTTATTTGTATACAAGTTATACTCTTTCCGTTTATTGTTTCGATCGCTAAAGACGAAACGAAAAGAGCAAAATGATGACGCACGGAAGTAGGGTATGGCAAAATTTAAACTGCGTTCGGTTGCCAAAAATAGCCCAACCGGAATTTTAGAAGTTTCCCTCTTTTATTTATGCTCTCTTGATATACCACAATGCTCCATGTTTGTTATTTCAGAAAGGGCTTGTAAAATGCTTTACATTACATATATTTCCTTATTCTCAATTCTGATTGGTTCACACACTTCTATATTTACCTGAAGTACACTCCGTGATCTTACACGCCTTGACATCCATTGGTTGCTTTCGTTTTTCACATTTGTTGCTTTTTTTACCAGTCAGTTTGTGTCTGCAGGTTACTAAACGCCTTTGATACCCAGGACCACACCTTGCAGAGCACTGTGAAATAAAACAATATAAAATGTCATTATTAGGAGCATTCTTTACGAGTACCATTTTCCCTTTGGTATGTGAACCAGCATATTCAGATCAGGAGCCCATTACTGGGAGCATCCATCTCCCATACTGGGTCCGCGAGCCAGCAAATTCAGATCATGAGGCCATTACTGGGAACATCCATCCCCTATACTGGGTCTGTGAGCCAACATATCGCAAGATCAGGAGCGCGCCCTTTTACTAGGACCATACATCTCCCATACTGGGTCTGTGAGCCAGCACATTCCCAGATCAAGAGCCCATTACTAGAAGCATCCATCTCCAATACTGGATATGTGAGCCAGCATATTCTCAGATCAGGAGCCCATTACCAGGAGCATCCATCTCCAATACTGGATATGTGGGCCAGCATATTCTCAGATCAGGAGCCCATTACTAGGAGCATCCATCTCCAATACTGGATATGCGAGCCAGCATATTCAGATCAGGAGTCCATTACTGGGAGCATCTATCTCCAATACTGGGTTTGTAAGCTGGCATTTTCCCTCATGTTTGTGGGATCCTGGTAAACGATTTATACTATAGAATACTTGCAAGGTAGATTATACGAATGTAAGCAGATCTAACCAGTACACTATACCTTTGACCATTCCCCTGTAACCCATTCAAGACAAGGTCCACTGTAGCACGGCTTGCTAGCTGTTGGCTTCAGCGACAACGAGCACATATTCTTTGCTGGACATGTGACAGATCTTCTACGCACCCCGACCCCGCACAGCGCGTAACACTGAAAAAGGAAACATTACAAATGTCAAATTTACTGAGTCTATTTTTACATCAATAGGCATTGAGCATTTTCACTCCGTACGTACCAAACAATAGAAACTTTCGGCAAAGTTTTTACGAAAAATAGAGTTTAATTCCCCAAGGATAGAAAATGTATTGTTTTGGTGACCAACATGGCCGCTATGACGTCACGTGAAAGCGCTCTATTGTATCTAACTTCCCCATGTCAAGCCATAACCAATAGAGTCATCTTACTTTGATGAAGATGGGACCAAAATCAGTAAATACTTACCCTAGACCATCTTCCAACCCTCCACTTCAAGTGACATGCTTTGTGAATGCAGTTCCTTAGACTTGATGGCTTGTCATCGGTGCAGCGATGGTCAGGCGCTAGAGTACGGCTGCCATTCCTATGTTCCTGTTTGCACGTCACCAAGCGCTTTTGAACTCCTCCTCCACATGTTGTACTGCAAGGTTGCCATGGAGATACATCCCACCTAAATTAAATGAGTTGATATCAGTTATACACGTATCCTACACATTGCATGGTAAATAGTCGACGCTTTTTTTCTAACTTTTTTGTTGGCGTTTTACACTTCTGATATTTTGTTTGCTTTTTGCATCATACCAGAGTTCAAAAATCACCTTGTTTCATTATTTATCTTGTCTTAGTCTTTCCCTTAAGGTGAATTTATGTCCAACATACGTCGGTATAGGTAGATACGTAGGTATGTAGGTACGTAGGTATAGGTAGATACGTAGGTATGTAGGTACGTAGGTATAGGTAGATACGTAGGTATGTAGGTACGTAGGTAAGCAAGGTACGTCCTACTTACCAAATGGCACACTTGTGTACATTACAGACTCGTTCCTGTGTTTGAGGCTTGGTTGCGTCTTTACAATAAAAATCTTCAACAAAGCTAATTTCACCGCGATAAAAACCAACACACTTCATCTTAAGGCTTTTTCGTATACCTGAAAACAATAACAGAAAAAATTCAAATCAGAATGGAATATGGATAGACTTTGATGAGGTATTAGGAGAGAGGATAAGACAGATTTATTAACTCACTCACTCAACCTTTTATCCGTCCGTCTGTTCTTCCATCTGCTCGCCCTCTATCTGTCTATTCATCCGTCCGCCTGTCCTTCCATCTGTTCGTCCTCTGTTTGTCTATTCATCTGTCCGTCCGTCCTTCAATCTATCCATCTGTCTGTCTTTCCATTCGTCAATTTATCTGTTATTCCGTCCGTCTATCAGTCTGTCTTTCCATTCGTCCTTTTATCTGTAATTTCGTCCATCTATCATGCAGTCTGTCTGGTTTTTTTCCAGTTAAAATATATATAACACACAACTTTATAACTTACCACCATCACAGTGAGCACTGCACGGGCTCCACCCTCCATGTACCCAGCCATACGTGGGTCCCGTGATATGAAGCAGCTTCTTCTTGTCCTTCGCCTTCTTTGATGTGTTGATGGGTAGAGTGTAACGGTATTTGATACCGAGATTGAATCCATTGTACAATACCTGCAGGAAAAAAATCGATTCAAAACCAGCTAAGTTGGCATTCAGTTCGAACTCAAGGTTAGGCAATTAGAATTGAGGATTCGACAATTAGCATTTCACATAATTCTACCAAGAGAACCCACGAAGTACGAATTATTTGTTCTTTAAATTGATCGTAAACGCGCTAGTCGAACTCATGGCGGAGTTCAATTTCAATCGACAATAGAAATATACATTTTACCCAGTCCCTGCTCGGAAAATGCTAACCAAACATAGTTGACCCACAATTCCTTTAGGGAAATGCGATCAACTCATGCGTAAGGTGTTGAATCTTTCTTTGAACAATTTCTATATGAAAGCAGAGACAATGACCAAATAGGTCAACTCCGAGTAAGTTTTGACCTAATATTGAGGATAATATGCTTTATGATTTAAAGTTGAATCCGTCTCAGTAGGTTATACAAATAAAGAAAGAAATAATACTCAAGGGAATGGTTTAGTCTGATCATTATCTAGAAGTCTTAGTTTCTCACCATGATATGGAAAGGCGTAGTAGTGGGTCCCTTAGCAATCAGTCTCTCCCATGTTCCACTTCGAAAGTATTTAAAGATCGTGCCTTCGGCATCAAAGTCCCCTGGCAGTTCAATCTTCTTGTTACCATTGATGTAATATTTGTCAATACGGCTTCTCAACGCTTAAAACAAAAAAATAGCAATACATTAAAGTCGTTAATAAAGGCTAACTTACTAGATGTATTGGCATCCATAGGAAACGGATTAAGTTAACCAGCACTTAATCATGCTATGGGGCAATTGAAACAATATAAATGTTCTTCTATGCACCTAATCGAAATATGGCAACCAATTTGAATAACGTTTGCCCTGGACTGACTAACGACTGACTAGCCTCTCATACTTGTGAAAAAACTTTTATTTTTCCACGTGAACACGAGGCTGGTCAGTCGCTATTAAGTGCAGAACAATGGTTATTCAAATTGGTGGTCATATTTCGATTCGGTGTATAAGAAGTGGATAGGCGACTCCTCTATCGGATTCAAATATTGCTATTTTTTGAAAGAATGTTTGGTGACTCTTTTATACTCTTTTGGTAGCCGTACATATACCAAAATAACGTTACATATAACGCATTTTCAAAGAAAAAATATTGAGAAAAAATACATGAGCCACTAACTTACCCAAGAAACTGGTACAGGGTTTTACCTCTGTTACAAGAATAGCTCTCGCTCCTTTTGGAATTAATGCGGCCTCGACGTATCCTAGCAACCAACACAACGGTTTTATTATTTAATGCACAAATAATACACTACCTTCAAGTTAAGAATACACAAAATAAACACAGGGCACATATGAAAGACTTGTGTGCGCTTCCATAAATTATGCAACTTTTTAAGTATCTCAAAAAAATACGCAGTGCGTACATTGCTTTTCATTTGAATACCGGGTAAAAGTGAAATACAAACTAAACTTTTATGTGCAACAGCAGTTTGCGATAAATTACTGTGAGCTCGATTTTTTGACCTTCTTAACTGGACTCGACAAGAGTGTAGTTGGAACGCCATAAACTGCAAATTCACAAAGCACGCGGGGATTGGCAGAACACGGATAAGTGTTAGGAGAATCATGACGAGTAGCGGAGTGCTTGTTCTCAACACATGTCGAGTGTTCTGCCAAACCCCAAGTTCTTTATAACTGCGCACAGAACAGCACAGCAAGCAAAGTTTTTATTTCTTTCATAAAATAAAAATTACAATAACGGTTATTTTAGATAGGAATGACGCAACAGGAAGTGCGCACGCGTGCAATGTGCTCTTATAAAGCACACACTCCAAACCAATCAGAACTCGACATTCATAACAGTTATTTTATAATAAGGTGTAATGAACCATTGAAAGTGTAGGTTGCTTACCTTTTCCCGCCAGTTGGTTAAACCTTCCTTCAACTGTATAACACGTTGTTCCATTCCCTTTACAGACACCGCAGACGTCTTCTTTTGCACCAGAACCAAGTTTGTTGTCACATCCTACGGACTAAATATGCAAATTTTGGGAAATTAACATTTTGTTAAAAGTTTAAGGAATAACGTACACCTATAAAAAAGGTAAAGTGAAACCTATATCAGATATATAAAGATATTTTCTGATCAAGGTCGTATTGATCGTAACAGTTGATCATGGGTAAAGCGCGCTATATATTTTTAAAAAATTGAAAAAGATACGCACACTTGATGCGTGCAGCTATAAAACGCGCCACACAGGGATTGGCAGAACACGAGAGACGCATGGCGCGTAGTGGAGTGTTCCACCATCTTCAAGCGCTTTATAACTGCACACAGCACAGCAGGCAAGTTTTTATTACTCGTAAAAAAATACAAATTAGAACATCCTTAATTTTGGATACGAATGACAAACAGAAACTCCGTGCGCGTATTGTGTAATATTATGTAGAACGCGTACCAACCATTCAGAAAGCGATATTTATAAAATATATTTTATAAAAGAGTATATTTCTTACATGGCATTTTCCATCAATGCAGACGTTACGTGTGTCGGCCCGACAGGTTGTACCGTCAACAACATTCTCTGCAAGTTTAGCTGAGAATCGATGATTTGTTCCTTCAGGTCTACAGAATAAAGCACATGGCTGACCTACAGCAAAAATAAATAGCAATATGTTTTTGCGCATCTAAACTAGTTTGCAATCATTCCCAAAATGAATGAAATGACAAAAGACACGGCGGCCATGTTGGATGATATAACACACCATACTAATGACGAATATTTTTCAATATTTATCCAACATGGCGGCTGTGAAAGTCATCAACTGATAAACATTAACAAACATGAACATCCCAATAAAAAAATGAACTGTAAATGAAATTTCTCTCGATTTAGGATCGAGATTTTTTATTTTATTTTATTTTTTAATTAAAAAATGCAATAGCCATGTATCATAAAGCTGGGTCAATTTCCATGAAAATAAAATTTAAATTAAAACAAAATTAAAAAATGGAAGTCACCCATCCAGCTACTAACCCCGCAAAGCCGTGCTTAACTCACTGTATCGGAAGTACACATTTTTATCCATTGGACCACGATTTCTGAATTTAGCGCCAGATAGACTAGACTTTTTAACAGAGATGCAAGGGATTAGCCGATATGGTCTGGGGGCCGGCTGGTCTCTCCCCTGATGCTTCGGCTAGAACATTTTCTTGCGTAATTCGTACACCCAAGGGCAGAAGGATTTAATCGCCGTCAGGTCCGAAGTCCATACG